AAATTTGAATCGTAGTACCACACGTGGCAAATAAATAGAACAAAAGTATGATTTTATGCATCGGCGTGTGTAAGGGCTTAGAAACTCATAGAAACTGTGTAATGATTGGATTAGGTATATACGTTCATGGTAAGAATGCACCAGATGCGCTGTCGTGAGAATTAAGGTAAAATTAATTATGGGTTTTATAAGCATGTTCTCTTTCTCGTGGATGGAACTTGAATATATATATATATGTGCCAACTCTTTTTGCTATTTGACATCGTCAAATTTATATAGTATGATTGGTAGAACTGATCTATTGTATGGAATTAGATATAAACTATGTATATATATATATATATATATTAATTTTGAAACACATTAATTATGGATCAAACCTAGTCAAATAGCAAAAAGAGTTGGCATGGCTTAGTGGTTAGGGCATTTAACTAACAATCTGTGGGTCGCGGGATCGACTCCCGTCACCGAACATGCTCGTGAGGGAGTTATAAAATACAGGCAGTCCCACTATTCGTTGGTAAAAAATGTCCAAGACTAGTTACCTTCATTTTAGTTTATTAATTCAAAATTAGGGACGTTTATCCTTGGGTAACTGCACGAAATTCAAAGAACAGCGGGATACCCATCCTCAACGAGGATACCCTTCAGTTCAAATACTAATATGATAGTCACTGGTCTGGAGTTAATATAACTGTATTAAAGGTTATTCCAAATAATACTATATGTAGTGTTCACTTTGAAACAGACCAGTAACAGCCCTAATGGAAATTATCTTAAATATTATAGATGTCATTATAACACAGACTCATCCGTATGATGTAATAGCTATTCGTGAAGATTTTGTCAAAAAGAGTTTTATTTGTTACGTAATTTGCAGGCTAGTTGACTTTGTTTATGTCATTCTTGCATTGAGCGCTACACAGTGATTACGACTTTATTCTCAAACTGTTATGTTTCACTTCTTTATGGAATAAAATCATATGTATCATGTCTTACATATAACATAAACAGTTCGTACTGCTCTTCTACGTGGAAATCATTTAGGGTTTATGCATGAGCCTGCTCTAGAAAAGGTAAAGCGAAAATACGTAATTTGACAGGAAGGAGATCCTGAGTACGTACTGATGCGCAGGCACTTGCTAATTGGGATACTTTGCTATAGAGGATAAAGCAATTAATAAAAAATAAAACCAAGAGTTTTATGTCTTAAATTAAAAATTAATTTTACACTTGAAATATGCTTTATTAACAATGTTTTTAAGGACATGTTTACAGGAACTCGGTTTGAAGGGTTTGTTTGTTTGAAGTTAAGCACAAAGCTACACAATGGGCTATCTGTGCTCTGCCCACCACGGGTATCGAAACCCGGATTTAAGCGTTGTAAGTTCGCAGACATACCGCCATACCACTGGGGGGGGGGGGGTTTGAAGGGATGCTTGTTTTTTGACTTAATTTACAGATTTCAAAAGTTACATTAATAAGATAATCGTCAACGGACTGTAAAGAAATACTTGAAATTACAAATCGCTATATATATATTCAAAGACATTCGTTATGATTTTAATCTAACTATATGAATTGGCTGCTTACTATTTGAATTGGAGGTAAATCTTAACATACTGGATAACTAGCTGGGTTACCCGTCTCCTGGACGGAAGTTAAGTAAATTCATGATTAACGAAAGGTCATCTTAGGACATGAAAAGTTGCTTCCTTAAAAAAATAATTCTAAAATAACGTCCATAAAAATTGCAAAACTGAAAAATTTGTATGTACCGCTACATGAACATAATGAAACTCCATCCACACCCTGCGAAGTAGTTACATGGACAGACAACAGACAGTACTATTATATTTATATAGAAGATTTCTTCCAATACTCATGAATTGTTAGTTGTGCTTTTTTACTGATATAGTGAAATGGGTAGTTTGATAACAACAAACAATCAACGTTACATAATGAACTTGCTGGATTCAACAAACAATCAACGTTACCTAATGAACTGGCTAGATTCAACAAACAATCAACGTTACCTAATGAACTGGCTAGATTCAACAAACAGTCAACGTTACCTAATGAACTGGCTAGATTCAACAAACAGTCAATGTTACCTAATGAATTAGTTACTTTCAACAAACAGTCATTGTTACCTAGTGAATTAGTTACTTTCAACAAACATTGTTACCTAATGAACTGGCTAGTTTCAACAAATAGTCAATGTTACCTAGTGAATTAGTTACTTTCAACAAACATTGTTACCTAATGAACTGGCTAGTTTCAACAAATAGTCAATGTTACCTAGTGAATTAGTTACTTTCAACAAACAGTCAATGCTACCTAGTGAATAAGTTACTTTCAACAAACAGTCAATGTTACCAAGTGAGCTGGCTAGTTTCAACAATTATTGTTACCTAGTGAATTGGCTAGTTTCAACAAACAGTCGTTGTTACCTAGTGAACTGGCTAGTTTCAACAAACAGTCAATGTTACTTAGTGAACTGGCTTGTTTCAACAAACAGTCAATGTTACCAAGTGAGCTGGATAGTTTCAACAAACAGTCAATGTTACCTAGTGAACTAACTTGTTTCAACAAACAGTCAATGTTACCAAGTGAGCTGGATAGTTTCAACAAACAGTCAATGTTACCTAGTGAACTAACTTGTTTCAACAATCAGTCAATGTTACCAAGTGAGCTGGCTAGTTTCAACAAATAGTCGTTGTTACCTAGTGAACTGGCTAGTTTCAACAAACAGTCAATGTTACCAAGTGAGCTGGATAGTTTCAACCAACAGTCAATGTTACCTAGTGAACTAACTTGTTTCAACAATCAGTCAATGTTACCAAGTGAACTAACTTGTTTCAACAAACAGTCAATGTTACCAAGTGAGCTGGATAGTTTCAACCAACAGTCAATGTTACCTAGTGAACTAACTTGTTTCAACAATCAGTCAATGTTACCAAGTGAGCTGGCTAGTTTCAACAAACAGTCAATGTTACCAAGTGAGCTGGATAGTTTCAACAAACAGTCAATGTTACCTAGTGAACTAACTTGTTTCAACAATCAGTCAATGTTACCAAGTGAGCTGGCTAGTTTCAACAAACAGTCAATGTTACCTAGTGATATGGTAAGCTTCTACAAATATCCAATATTTCATAGTGAATTAGTTACTATCAACAAACAGTCAATATTACCTAAAGAATTGTTTACATTCAACAATGTTACCTAGTGAACTAGTTTAACAAATAATCAATGTTACATAGTAGATTTATAAGTTTCGACAAATAATCATTGTTACAGTAACATTAAATTGGTTACTTTCAACAAATAATAGATTAATTTAACATACAGGATTTGTTAGTTTAACCCTATGTTTCATAATAATGATTCAGTATAATCCATTTTGGTTTAGAGTGCATGCAATATGAACCTAATAATCAAAGTCACAGCAACAACAACAAAACGACTTTTCACATACTGTTTGTTTGTTATGAATTTCGTGCAAAGCTACACGAGGGTTATCTGCGCTAGCCGTCCCTAATTTAGCAGTGTAAGACAGCTAGTCATCACCACCCACCGCCAACTCTTGGGCTACTTTTTTACCAACGAATAATGAGATTAACAGTCACTTATAACGCCCCCACGGCTGAAAGGTCGAGCATGTTTAGTGGGATGGGGATTCGAACCCGCGACCCGCAGATTACGAGTCGAGCGCCCTAACCACCTGGCCATGCCGGGCCTTTCACTTAATAAACGTGTTAATAAACTACACGTTTCATACTTTGAGGCACCAAGTGTAACTTTGCAATGAAAGCTAAACTTAAGTATGCAACTTATATATTGCATACTTAAGATTTATAAATGTCACTAATATTTGTAAATTGGCAAGTCGGCGGAGAAATATACTTGTTGATTTATTAAATACACACGACAACTTATAATCTTCCCACCGTTGTATTAAACCCCCTCGTATATTTAAAGTTGTGTAGATTTACAAACCGATATGTAAACGTGCGTAATTAACACGTAGCTTAATAAACACGAAGTGTTCTTTGATAAATTGTGGTGCACCTTTCATAAATGGACAAATCATCTGTTTATTTATTAAATATAAATCATCTGTTTATTTATTAAATATAAATCATCTGTATTTATTAAATATAAATCATCTGTTTATTTATTAAATATAAATCGACTGTTTGTTTATTAAATATAAAATAACATTAAGGGGAGCTTTATAAATTGTGACGTATATTTAATAAATAATCAGACAATTTAATAATACCAAAGGGAACGTTATAAATTATGACGTATATTTAATAAATCAATAAGTATATTACTCAGCCAACTCGTAAATTTGCAAATAGTAGCGACATTTATAAACTTACAAGTCAATTTATAATTTTTCTGAGTAACAGAGATGAAGAGGCCAAGAAATATGTAATATATAAATTTCACACGCAGTTTATCTTAAATTGTAAAGTTACACTTGGCGCTTCATATCTCATCACATGGAATGTATTTTTACCTTGTTTTTCATAGTTTCGTTAAATATATATATTTCGGTGCCATATAAGTTCCAACATAACTATTTCCTACTCTCTGTGATACTCAGAAGACCTTTTCCATAAGTTTCTTCACTTTACACTTTTATATTCACATGGACATAAAGTTTAAAGAACAGTTCCGTTGTTGTTGTTTTTTTATGAAGTTTTTTCCAGGTAGATGTTTCTGTGAGGTAGTTCAAGTATATTCAGGTTTACATATCTAATAATTATTATTATTACAATGAAAATAATTCAACCCAAACTTAATGATACAACGTTAAAGATTCACTTTTTTTAAAAAATCATTTACTTGAGTGTTATGTATTATACTTACTTATTCCTGGGTTTGAAGATTATTTATTAGCCACAAGTTCTCACAGCCTCGCGGTCACGCAGAAGATGGTATGTGAAAACTTGTACAGTTATTGCAGTCATGAAGGAGTGTGAGAAAATTGGCTGCGTGATCGAGCACACAATCTGGGTTATGCTAGATCACACGGACCAGGAATAAGTGATCAAGAAGTCCCACGCTCGCCCGCACATCTGGCCTCCATAACACGAGCCACACGTGACCAATCAGCAGACACTCTGCGAAGTTTTCGCGTCAGCTAAATACACAAGTCGGTTGTCAGTCAAAGGACCTTCTCTCCATGGAGGCGGGATTTTCTCACACTGCTGTCTTTTTAACCGAACCACCGTGAGAACACTTGGATCAGTTGGCAAACGTTCGAGCACAAGTTGGTCGTGTGTCCACAGCATAAGGAACTTCCGTTGCACGCGTGTCTGGACGCTAGCGAAACTCTATCAGAAGTGTGGAGTCGTTTACTTAGAAGTCTGGCTCACGATGAAAAGGGACTTTAGCGACATGGAATCTGAATGTGACGACGTCTTCGGCGAGGAAGCAAGTAAAGGGTACGTTAACTTTTAAACCGGTGACTAGCACGTGCTGTATAGGATAGACACGTGAAATGTCATGTAAACATGCACTTATTCAAAATTCTTTTAATTATATTGTAATATCAAGCAGACAAGCTTTATGTCTCTCATGTATCTTTTATTTTATATTATATAATGTGTACTGGTACTTCGTGTTTGATATTGTAAAGCTTACAAATATAAATACCTTACGTGTTAAGTTATACATTGAGATACATTGTAAACCGTTCGGAATAATAATGAAATCGGATGTATGTCAGTAACCCAATCATGAGTGACAGCTCACTTGAATTACTTCGAAAACAACTATGGTAAAGTACGACTTTTATTTCTTGGTTCTTAAGTTCAGAGTTGTAAATAAATTATCTGTATATTTCAGGACACCTACTCAAAGCAGTGAAAGTTGCCAGATACTCAACAAGAAGAAAAGACGTGGGGTAAGTATTAAGTACTTAAACTTTGTTAAAGGCTTATTTGAATTAAGGTTCGTGAATGAGAATCTAAGCATAACGAACTTAGATGAAGGAATGGTCAAGGAAGGTGTTGCTAACTGTGAAGAGGATGTTACTGATTTACAAAAGGATAAATTTAGACCATTTGGTGAATTGGGCAAATAAAAGGCAAATGGGTTTTAATGATAATAAATGCAAGATAATGCTTGTGAGTTATCATAATTTGAATTATAAGTATAATTTGGATGGAAATAACCTTAACAGTGTCATGAAAGAAAGGGATCTTGGTGTAATAGTTGATCAGTCTCTTAAGCCATCCAAGCAGTGTGTTGTTGCTAGTGGTAGGGAAACAGAATTTTAGGTTGTATCTATAGAAATATTGAATAAAAGTCTAAAAAGGTTATATTTTCATTGTACAGGTCATTGGTTAGGCCACATTTGGAATATTGTGTTCAGTCTTGGGCTCCTTACCTTAGGGAAAGACATTGAATTGTTGGAAAGAGTTGAGATGAGGGTTACTAGAATGGTGCCTGGAATGGAGGGGTTATCATACGAGGAGAGGCTGAAATCTCTCAAATTGTTTTCTCTTGAAAAAAGAAGAGGTGGGGGGATCTGATTGCGGTGTTTAAGATTGTAAAGGGAATTGATAGTGTTGATGCTTCATCTTTTTTCACATTTATCAGTGAGAATAGTAAGACTAGGGGACACAAATATAAATTTTGGCATGGTAGCAGTCATCTTCAGCTAAGAAAGTTTCATTTTTCTAACAGGGTGGTTGGCCTTTGGAATAGGTTGCCTTCGGATGTTGTGGAAGCAGCAATATTAAGTGTTTAAGAGAAAGCTTGATAAGAGCTGGCTTTAATATTTTTTATTTTAATTTATTTATTAATAGTTTTAGTTTAGTTTAGAGGATGAGACAGCCGAGATGGACCAATAGATCCCATGTTGTCCCAAAACATTATGTTATGTTAATTACTACGAGTAATATTATTTGCAAAGTGACTCTCATTTTTGTGACTGTAAAGTAATGTAACCTGAACACTCATTTGAAATGAACCACACTAACGAAATCAACACTGACGTGTGAACAATTTTGGTGATTAATTTTCATTTACATTATTACATTATCAAGAAAATTATTGTAGCAAGCCATGGTATCAAACGTTATTAGGTATAAATATACAGGTGCTATAATTCAAGTTACCTGTTGTTCAATCTGTGTGTGTCTTTATTCTGAGTTAATAAAAATCAAGCATTTTTGAAATGATAACACTTATTTGGTTGGATGCATGGGACTGTTTGTTATTGTGTTAAATCACCAATTCAAGAAAGGGCTTTATAACAACGTAGTGAACTTATGTAATGAAGACAACATTAAGCCTAAGCCTTTTTACGATCATCCTTTCTCAGAAAAAAAGTAAAGAAATAAGAGAATCACTGACAGCCTTTCACTCTAACTTTAAAAACTACTTCTATATTATTTTATAAATTAATTTAACCAATGAGCCTTTGTTAATATTACGTCGACGAAAATACACAAGCTATAAGAATTTTGTTTTGTAGAAAAAAACAAGACAAAAAATGTTACTAAAAATAATGCTATGCTCTCAGTTAATTATTAAAAAAATGGAAGCAAACAATATGTATGAAAAAATAAGTTCTTTTGATGTGATTTTATCCGATAGGTGATAGAAAAGAGACGGCGTGACCGAATTAACAGTTCTTTATCTGAACTTCGACGTCTCGTTCCTGCAGCGTTTGAAAAACAGGTAAGCATACTAGAAGTTCTTTTATTTATATCGACTTTTCGTGGATTCTGAAGACAGATAAGTTCTTGGATCACTTTTTACCTTATTTTAGTCATGTAATGTTAAATTATACTATTATGTTTCATTTTGTTGCTTTTTTCTAGGTGTTTGAAAATTTTAGCCTTATTTTTGGTTAGGATGGAATGACCACGATATATATTTAATAAATAAATAAATAAATGATTTAATAACACGAAATGGGGCTTTATAAATTGTGACGTATATTTAATAAATAAACAGCTTTATAAACTGTGACGTATATTTAATAAATAAACATGATTTAATAACACTAAGGGGAGCTTTATAAATTGTGACATATATTTAATAAATCAAATGGTGTATTTAATAAAAACAAACGATTTAATAACACTAAAGGGAGTTTTATAAATTGTGACGAATATTTAATAAATCAAAAGGTGTATTTAATAAATATTCAGACGATTTAATAACACTAAAGGGCTTTATAAATTATGACATATTTAATAAATCAAAAGGTGTATTTAATAAATATTCAGACGATTTAATAACACTAAAGGGGCTTTATAAATTATGACATATATTTAATAAATCAAAAGGTGTATTTAATAAATATTCAGAAGATTTAATAACACTAAAGGGGCTTTATAAATTACGACATATATTTAATAAATCAACAAGTATATTACTCAGCCAACTCGTAAACTTACAGATAGTAGTGACATTTATAAACGTACAGGTCAATTTATAATTTTTTTCTGAGTGAAAGAGATGAAAAGACCAAGAAATCTGTAATATACAATTTAGCTTAAATTGTAAAGTTACACCTGGCGCCTCGTATCACACCACGTGGAATGTATTTCTACCTTGTTTTTCACTGTTAAATTGAGTATTTATATTTCAGTGCCATATAAGTTCCAACATAACTACTTCCCACTCTCTGTGATGCTCAGCAGAAGACTTTCTCCTTAAGTTTCTTCGCTTTAGACTTATATATGCACATGAACATAAAGTTCCATCAGTAACACAACAGGAAAAACCTCGTATTCAGTAATAGGAAGCTAAATTTCCAATTTATGGTTAGTGCCTAAGCAAGTTCGGGGTTCTAAACAGCATGAAATTTAGGGGGACCAGCCCCCCTCACAAAAAAAAACTGAAAAATTAAAGATCAAATCATGTGCTTAACTGTTACCGTAATGGATTAAACATCACATATTCTGTTGCAATTCTGAAAGAGAGAGAAAAATAATGAATACATTTTAATTGTATACATTATTTGTAAATTACCAGAGCGAGACCCCAAATGGTCGCTTGTCTTGCTTGTTGCTTATGGTATAATACTACAAAACATCATTTTGATCATGTTAGGAAACGAAAGATAAACCTTTTCAGGATGTTACACTAGATATAAATATTTAATTTTTTTCACGCAGGGCTCAGCTAAACTAGAAAAAGCAGAGATTTTACAAATGACCGTGGACCACTTGAAAATGCTCCATGCCAAAGGTAACAAAGTGTTAATATTTGTATTACCTTTTTAAATTTCTAAGACACTGCAGTAATTTACTGAGGTTGAAATTTGATTAACATTATTGTTTGTTTCAGTGTTAATATATCGCACGCTTTAAGTGCTACAGTATATATTATTTTTCAAATGTTATAAATCTCGGAGGTGCTTCTTGAGAAAATGTTGACTTAATTTTAGTTTTGTAATCTGTTCACTGTAGCCGAAGAAACAAACACATTAGATGGTAAATCCAGTTCATAACCAGAATTACCATTCTAACTAAAAGGTCTAGGTCGTGTTTTACCAGAACTATTAATTTGACAAATTGTCTAGGTTGTAGTTTACCAAAATTACTAATCTAACTAAATAGTATGATTTACCAGAACTACTAATTTGACCAAAGGGTCTAGGTCACGATTTTCCGCTTTTCATTACAAGTATTAAAAAATGCTTGTATGCTCATGAACATAAAATGCCAGTCTTATAAAAAATATTTAGAAACTTTAAGTAGTTTTTTTTTTTCTAGAGGAAATTC